AATATAAACACTATGTACAAGAGAAAAAACAGTAAGAATCAAGCATCAAAATCTCAAATGCATGCAAAATCAGTTTTATTTTATTTTTTTTACAAGTAGCATAAAGGGAACTATACCTAAATTTCATTATTCAACCCTGTGTTGTAAATGACAATAAAATAATTGAATTCTGCAATCAAAACACACACAGTCACTCAGTCAAGATGTTTGCTTTGATTCGATTTTGTAGCCTGTCAAATTCTGAAAAAACCTACATCAGAATCAGAATCAGTTTGTTGCCAAGAAGGTTTTCACATACAAGGGACACAACAAGGTCTAAATAAAATTTAAAAAATCCGACCTGCTGCAGCTGTGGCTGTAAGAGCCCCGCAGAGCAAAACAGAGAGGAGCAAGAGAGCCTTCATGATGAAGATGATGATGAGGATGATGAAGTCTGAAGGTCTGCAGGGAGTCAGAGGCAGTCAGACACTTCCAGCGTTCACTAACATGTAATGAGACAGAGAGACAGAGCCGGGGTCTTACCTGTCAGTTAAATGTGAGGTGATGCTCAGGTGTCAGGTGAGTGATGCAGTGATGAAGAGGAGGCTGTCTTGCTCTTTATATACACACACCTGAAGCACAGCTTGTGCACAGAGCAGCATATGAATGGATGAACTTTGACCATTGACTGGAGTGGAAACGTGAGTGTGTTTGTGTTCCAATGAGGGCCAATAAGGAAACAGTGACATAAATAAGACCAATATGACTGATAGAGATCTGACTGATAGCATTATATGATACAACACTCATGTTAATGATGATCCTCCAGAAAGACAAATCCTAAACATTCTGGTATATTATAAACCTTAAATATAATTTAAATTAACATTTAGTCGAGTGTCCTGTCAATCAGTTTGTTCTGTTCTTCTTGCTTAACTCTGTGTGTGTGTGTGTGTGTGTGTGTGTCCTTAGATCCCATTAAAGGTCCAGTGTGTAACATTTAAGAGGCTCTATTGGCAGAAGTTAAATATAATATTCATAGTCATGTTTTCATTAGTGTACAATCAGAGTCCTCCTGACACGTCAAAGTGGCCACACAGAGCGTTTCCTCTGCGGAGCTGCTGCTGCCGGCCCTATCTTATACTGAGTTTGCCTTCGATAAAAACAGTACAGTCTATAATACAGTCTATTTCTAAAAAAATATGCAAGAGCTCGACTCTTTAGTGAAGCGTTGCTGCAGATAGCTAAGTAGCAAAAGAACGTGAGGAGGGAAAATGGAAACAACCCAAAAAGATGTTGACCACTTCCCTGACTGTAAAAGCAGACTGTATTATCCGGCTGATTTCTTTGTAATCTGAAGGTCGTTCATAAAGACACCTCCCTGTTGTCCTTGAAAGTCTATGTTTGATGTTTAGTCTGCAATCATAAATCAATGCAAGGAACATTTATTATGGCTGACTTTGTCCCAGCTGTTGTTCTTTATGGCACACAGGAAACAGTAAACCAGGTTAATTTGTTTCTGCTGTAAACTGCAATGTGATTACATCCAAACAAACTGTTTGTGTTTCACTGACTGTTTACAGCAAATCTTGTCAGAGGACGTTTCCTTATTGTGTGAACAACTCTAATAAATCCAGATAAGGATTTTATACAACAGTAAAGACACTCCATACTGTGGTTGTAATGGAGCTCATATTCTAACAGGGCCAATGTAATAAATCAATCATCCTGTGATTGTATCAGTGGACCAAAATATCATCAACACCCTCATAAAGTTACAAATAAACATAAGAGCACCAAAACAGTCACACGTGTACATGAACACACAGCAGGCTGTAGTTTTCATATGAATCGTGGGATATTTTGGTATCTCGTCACAGTTTTACACAATTTTACAAAATTTGTAATGTAAATGTAATCCTGAAAAATATGAAATATACCCACGTCCCCACTTCATGTAGGACTATTGTTTCTTCTTTTCCTCATGAAGCTCTTTTCACACTGTGGCTTTAAGAATCTTCCACACTGCAAAATGCAGTTTCTGAACAAACAAAACATTTTGACTTTTATCAACTCATGTATTTATTTTTCCATTTTCTATCAAAAGAGAACATAAGAGAAACACATCTATTCAACGTATCAGTACACTAGTAAAGATACAATCTATGCAGCAGCATGGCGGTGGTCAGTGAGGAACCGGCCTCTGTGCCAAGACATTAGCAGACTAGTTTAATGGAGCAGATGAATGGATGTAAAAGCTGGCAACGCTCATTGGTCCATCCTTGAGTGTCAGTAGCAGAACAACAACAACATACAGAGTTAGTGATGGATCCTGAAGGAGGGCCCTGTTATCAGTCACATGTTAGAAAGGACTCAATTCAATTCAATTCAATTCAATTCAATTTTATTTGTATAGCGCCAATTCATAACAGAAGTTTATCTCAGGACACTTTTCAAATAGA